ACCGTCGGCTGATTACGGCGATCGTCGGGGGTAAGGCCAGTAGGGTTGTCGCGTATCCCGGTCTGCCTAACGGCGACTGCGCAGAGTGGGCAAACGGGGATACGCGTTGTATCCTCACTTCAGGCCTTGGTGTCCAACTCTCCTTCTATTTCTCCTTGACTAGGGTATGCCGGCAGCTCAGGTGATGGCTCCTTGATTCAGGTCGTGAATACGTTCGAAATCGCGCGTATGTTACCTATCCAGTGACCCGAAAATATAGCAAATTAGTGATACCCGTATGTAACCGCTCACGGCTGAAAATCACTAGCATACAGTCGAGGGGGGATATCAAAGTAAATTATATATACATAGATAATTAATCACTTTATTGATATATTAATAATTTACAAGTAAGAGGTCGGAGTGAATAGGGTAGGTAAAATCTGAATAACTATAAATCCGTAAGGATACAATTTAATTGGAACGTTAATGATTTTCCGGTCGGTTTTCGATTAATAAAGAGAGAAGGTCTGCGCAAATAACTCAGTCGCGAATTTCCTTTGTCTGATCTTACCGCTCCCACTCGGTTTACGAAATGGTGGAAAGATCAGCGCAAAATCGAATAAGCACGGTATCTTTATTCGGCTAAATCTACGTTCGTAACGAACTATTAACAAAAAGGTCAGCGCGAATAATTCAACTACTGCTTCGAATTCGTATGAACCTAATACACTTTTTAAGTCTAGGAAATGGCGGAAAGGTCAGCGCGAATCCTAAATCACAATTTTCCTTGATTAATCTTAACGTTCACGTTCAATTTGTGGAATAGCGGCAAAATCAACAACTATATAAGCACGACAATTTTATTCAATTAAACCTATGTTCGCATTAAATAATTAGCGAAAGGTCAGCGCGAATATCCTCGATCTCAATTTTCATGGGTTAATCCTAACGCTCACATTCGGTTTGCGAAATGGCGGGAAGGTCAACACAAATAACTAATCAAGAGAATTTTTATTCGATTAAACCTACGTTCGTAATAAATAATTAACGAAAGGTCAGCGCGAATCCTAAATCGCGATTTTCTTTCGTAAACTGAACACTCATTTTATATCTACGGAATGGCGGACAGGTCAGCACGATCCGATAGGCACCGGCGCCGACGGATCCACACGTCGCGACGACCTACGGCACTGAACGATTTATTCCCGCACTCCGCGATTAAATAAAAATAAGTGGCACTTTGCCTACTTACAATTTTTCTCTTGCGGTATTGGCAAACAAAATTGGCAAAAATATCTGAATGGCGTCTAGCGCTAATAATTCGGCAGCGAGATTAGCTGATAGAGAGGCTCCTTCTATCTAGATATCCAGTGGCAAAATGGACGAGAATAGGCTTCTCGCGGTCAAAGATCGCTTTTCTTCTCCTCTTTCCGAGAAGAAATGTTATTATTGGTCGGTATGCTAATTCGGATATCGGTAGCGTCCTCCGAATATTTTATTATTGGTCTGTATGTAAATTAGAAGGATACAGCGCCCTCCTTAACTCTCCTACTTTCGTCGTTATTTACCCTCTCTCACCCCCCACTAAGGTAGCTATCGTTAGTTGTTGGAAAAGATCTACCCCTACTCTTATCTATTTGTCTATCTGGACGGAAATCAAATTTTATTCTAATTTGCTCATTGGTCGTGACGTCACTAGCGAATTTTGTCAGAGGTTCAAATTCGGTCAGTTAATTTATTATTTAAACCTAAAGGGGGTAGTTATCGCTCGCTATCATAATAGGGGTGTCGGCCGCGTGCGAATTTTACAATTCGATATTTGTTCCACGCTCATTATTTTCCAATTATAATTTTAATTTTATTGTCATAGATACGTATATAATATACGCCGTTTCATTTGTAGCGCCCTCATCTTCGCATTTGCATATTATTCTATCTATTATTTTATATCGTCTGTCTCGCTCGCTCTTGTTTCGTCTATTTCGCTCGCTCTGTCTCGCTCGCTCTGTCTCAGTCTGTCTCGCTCGCTCTTGCTTAGTCTGCTTCGCTCGCTCTGTCTCGCTCGCTCTGTCTCAGTCTGTGTCGCTCGCTCGCTCTCAGTCTATATCGGTGCTTCAAGATGGCCGCTCAGTTCCTAGCGCGTACGTCTCGTGTCCTTGTGCCGGTTGTTGGAGCGCCTCCTGGGGCGCTCCCGTGTCGGTTCTGTGATGTTTCCCCGGGTGTTTGTGTGTGTGGTTGCTGGTATTCGTGTGTGTGGCGCTCAGGATGTCGCCGATGGTGTTCGGCAGCCCGACACAGCTGATTGCCGGCTGCCACTTCATCGATGATTTTCTGCTCGCCCCAGGAGTGTCAGTGCCTCGGGAGTGTTAGTGTTGGTGTCTGGGAGTGTAACGGATCTGCATGTGTCATCAACATGCATTTCCGTTGCATTTCCCAGTCAAGTTTTGCATTTTTCTTTTGCCGGTCGGCAACACGTGGTCGGGAGTGTATGTGAGTGAGTGTGTGCGTGCGCTCTCTTTTTCTGTGGTGCGCTCCTTTTTTTCTGTCTGCTCTTTGAGCGTCCGTCGGATCGCGTTAGACAAGTTTGTTTCATCCATATCTCCGGCGTGGTCGTTCGGACATAAAAAAGAGTAATTGTTCGGTATAGGGCGCGTTTAACTTTATTTTATACAACCGGTTACGGGGCGGCAAGGGACGGGGATGGCCTTTCTGAGGTGTTGCAAATAATGCAGCACTCAGGAAAGGCCTTGTAATGTACCGCATTACATAAGAAAACAGAACATACAAAAGCAGATTGTTGAAAATATTAGTCTTGGAAAGAAAAGCATCCCGAGAATGCGAATGAAATATCGCATAAAAACATCAAAATGTATAGCTGTTACTTAGTAAATTTCAAGGTTTCTATAAAAACGAGAATAGCTGGATTATAGATTTAGGAGTAAGTAGTCAGATGCTGCAGAAAAAGGAATTTTTCGATGAATATTCGTGGATGACCAAAACCTCGTAAAGGTTGAAGGCGCTGGATCTGCAGCAAGAAGCTGTGTAAATTGCAGCGAAAAACCATCGATAACAAAAATGCGCGATGTACTGTACATCCCTCTCTTAAGAGCAAATCTGCTGTTCGTAAAAAAAATCGTCTAGAAAGGGTACCGCTTTATTTTCGGAAACGAAAATTACACTATCATCAATGACAAGGATGGAAACCAGGTGTCCACAGCAATATTAGTTTATATCTTTTACAAGTTGCAAACATAAAAGGCACTTGTACTCAAACAGCATTAAGCAAACGCTGCGCCGAGGATTGCCATCGCGTGTAGAACAAACGTTTCGAACATCGTTATACAACAATGGTTATATAATATCAATCAAGGAACTGACGGACGAACAACTAGCCACTGGCATAAAAATTTCAGGCTGTGCCAATAGTATAATTTGTGAGGACTGTATAAAAGGAAAACAAGCTTACACATAAGTTCCGAAAAAATCTCATACTCAAAATCACACCCCTCTAGATCTAGTGCCCGCTATAATGATCGAATTTGATTTCGGTTTTAGACACTATCGATGCACCTATCGATCGTGTCAAATGTACGAGATGTACATGAAGACAGTCGATGTGGTCTCTCGCAGAGACAGACGATCAGTTGGTTCTCGCTCCTGCTCTGTTTTCTTTCAGCCACACAACACCTCTCCGTGAACTGCTCAGCAATATACATCGCTAATTTCACGATCATCTCCATCACCGTTCCGTCTCGCGCTGCCTCCGGGATATCATCCGTTGCGAACAGACGAAGAAGGCTCATCACAGCTTTTGGAGTGCAGCGATTTCGGGGCGTTAAGGATGCTCAATTGTGTTGGCGAAGTGAATCAATTGAGTCTTTGTTGGACGACGACCGGGTCACGTAAGCGTTAAATTATCCCGACAGCCGATCCCGAGAATCGGAATCAATATTCAAAATTTCAAGATTCAGTTTAGTTAATAAATAACGTGAGATACATTGTCCTTTATTTGTAACCGTACGAGCGAATTAAGCAATTCTAATCCATGCCGCGTAGTGAATCTCTTGTTTATAAAATGTAATAATAGATGAACGAAATCATTACATCATTAAATCGATTACATCTAATGTTTTTTCTTGGTATTACACTAAACTTTCTTGATCACCTTTCCGTAATACCAAACTGAAATTATTTCCGGCCATGATCATATAAAACTTTTATATAATTAATATTTATATGACGTCTTTGATAAGTAATTTGGTTATAAACAAACAGCCGTTACTAACACATTAGTTTGTTCTAATGATACATCATAGAATGATTTTCACAGACTAGTGAAGTAAATTCTTTTTGTAGTAAAACTTTTTGTAGTAAAACTCTTTTAGAAGTAAAACTACTTTACTAATGTATTTTTATTTTCAATTCAAAACTTAATAATTAATAATTTAACTAGAGTAATAATTTAAAAAATTTGTAATTTTAAATATTTATTAAATGTTACTTTCTATGCCAAATAATTTTGACTTGCAAAGCCGCGCCGTCATGGTTGCCACTTCGATATCATTAATTTAACATTAACTTTTCAGCATAACGGACTACAACAAAAGCGGTTTTTGTTACATATTTATGTTGTGCACGGCTTTATGTATTTACACAGCAAGATTTAAAAAATAGATAACATTTTTTTGTCACCGCCGATTGGTCTAATGATAAACACATTAAAATTGAGTTGAGCGCCACTTTAGCTTGATCGCAACGGGCGCATGCCGGTCTCCCTTCCCGTTCCCCCCTGATCCACCAAGCGAGCGCCTGGCTAAAACTGACTGCTGATTAGTCGTCTTTCAAAGATGATTATCTAGTCACCTAATTTTTATAAAATTTTTTTATTAATTTCATCTTATATAACTTTATAAGACGAATCTAAAAATATCCGGGTTTAAATATATTTTCGAATCAGCCTGTATATATATATATACATATATATATATATATATAATATTTTAATTATTATATCTTACTTGATGTAATGTTTCTCCACGTAACGCACTAAATTCATCAGGTTCCAGAATTCTAAGTTTCACAAAACTAATCATCGCGTCCTTCTCGACGCAACTATGACTTTCTCTACTACAGTAGGCCATTAGTTTACCAAGAAGTGTGGTTTCATCTAAATGTGAGTAAACGGTCATTTCTTTAAGTCGTGCAATAGCTTGTGCTCTAGCAGCCAGCATAGATACTAATATGCATTCCGAAGCGGAACCCTGAAAATTCAATACTAGAATGGAAAAATGTCATCAGAATATACTTATACTTTCATTACTTAATTAATACAAATATGTCATCTCAATTTAAATAAATAAATCATAATAATTGCATGATAAAGATACTGCTAATCTAGCAGTTAGGTTTCTCTTATCTGTGTTTATTTAGCTCTATGTATTATAATATTTTATTACTGTAACGTTTTGTCTTATGCTACGTTATAATAAAGTTCGGACTCTAAGATATATTTACAAATCGCGTTTCCAAGAGCAAGCAAGAAGTTGACACACAGTATTAGATGCCTGATATGATCGCAATAACACTTGTAGGTATATTTCGAAATCGCTATTGAATCAATTATCGAACAGCGAACATAATATTAATCTACGCAGTTCGCTACTTCGACGGCCCGTTTGAAATACGGCTAAGTATTGTTACATCTATCGGAGAAAGCCCCGACAGCGCCGTAACAAATATTCGGTCGAATTTATAGGCGGAATTAATTTTATCAAGAGAGGAGATAGTCTAAGGCTGCTTTTTTCTTATAAGAGAGAGGGTTTTATAAGCTGAGATCTTAGACTATCATATAGGAGAGGATAATGACACGGCTAATCACTGAATAATGAAACTATATTCGAAGTACCTTCTTACCTCAGCGAAAAGCGAAATTATACTTACGAAAGTAGCTTCTTTTTACGCTTGGAAACCCCTACAATGCTACTTTTGGTACTTGCGTAAAATTTAAAGAAGCTTTGTCGTGAAATCGTGCGCGCGGAGTTAAAAGTTGGTGATTTACAAATTAAGTTGAAAATGCCGAATTTTTTTAGTATATATTACGTCCGGAATTTATCAATATTTAATTAAATTTACTTGGAAAATTCGCCTAGAGTAAGCGAAAATTATCGAAAGAGAAAAAGAAATAAAGGGAGAACCTGTTGTAGCCGGTACCCTTCGCTACCTTTCGAATTGTTCTTTCCTTTTTAATTTGTTGATTTGCAGTCCGTCGCTTACCAAGGAAATGATTGTGCCTAAAGCACCGCTCACGGCCAGTCACACTCCACAAGACGAGAGGGAATATCGGAAGTTTTCGGTTAAGTTGAAATTACGAATTTTCAGAAGTATCGATACCTTTATTAAATTAATACTTATACTTTGACGTTTACAAGAATATTTAATGTTTCAGTTTTAAATATACTTTTCTAATTTTAAAGATTCGACACCCTTTACTTAGACTTTACGCGCACGTCCTTACCGCTTCACTGTCTGTTACCGAATGTCGAGAGTCTTCCTGCAATCGAGGAAAAAGCTTCGCGATGACCTGCCAATTGACGTATTCGCCAATGTCACCAGCCAATGGGCTAATTGCTTAATCAGCTTCGCGAGTCGTTGCATATTCCATTCAGCAAATCTCGCAAATATAATTTAAATTTTAATTGGCGAGATGTGGGCGTCTTGTTTTTTGCGGCTTCTATTTTGGCGTGTAACTCCCGTAGTAGTTGGCTTGGTTTCTTCTCTTCTTCGTTTTTGAAAGTAATCTTAGTCGGTGTGCTATTGTAATAGACGGTTTGCCTATAAAACGCCGCCCGCTCTCTTCGTGGCAGGGTTGGTGGTGTCTCTACGTCAGTTGTAGGTTTCGCCAGATACATGAACAAGTGAGCCAATGATGACCATACAGCGGCCAATAGGTGTGCGCTCCATCCATAAATCCTGTATAGAACGTAGCCGTTGATGCAGGCGTCTAAAATGCCTTTGAGAAATTGTACGACTAATATTATCATAAGGATTCCTGCTGAAATAGTGCCGAACTTCATAAAATTTCCCCAGGTTTTCTGTATTACCGATTTGGTACAGTCTTCTATTACATTTTTGTTTAGTAGATTTTGAAGGTTTGATTCATCTGCAGGTGTTGTTATGCTATTAAGCCTTCTTGCCATATTTTCTAACAATGCTGGTCGTTCGATGAGGAAATTTGTATGATGATGTAGGCGATTGAGATCTACCAGGGAGTAGATTCCATCATTAATAAGATTGTTTATATCACTGTAATACCAAGTCAGTTTTTTCATTGGTTGAATTATAGTTGGGTTGGTAAGCAGTGACTGACTTTTTAACGGAGAGTATCACATGTTGTTGAATTTGAATGCTGCGGGTAATATTGAATTACAATCTCTCACGGTTCCGTGTGATTGTAATATGTGTGTTTATGGTTTTACGAAGAGTTCGTTTTTGTTACAAATTACTGGTAATTCGTGGTAATAGTTTTCAGCCTTCCTGAGACGGCATTCCATAGGTTGGCATTGTACTATGTGTGCGATTTCGCCTACTGCGACTGCTGTGTGTCCTGGCTGTTGCATGATAATCGTAGCAAATTCATCAGGTGCAGTGTATGCCAGTGAAAGAGAATTTTGAATTACTTGTCGTTGAAGTTCACATCTGTGTTTTACTATATCCTTGTATACTTGGGAAAATTGAAGTTTAACGTGCCATGCGAAGTAAGACATTTTTGTGTTAAAATACGCCGACAGAAGTATATCTTTGACATCAATTCTCTGTTTTGCTGGAATGGAACGGCCTGGTTGTATTTCTACTATGAAAAGTCTGGCTTGTTTAGTTGAGATAAGGCAATATCCGCATAGATCAAATGAATTTTCAGTGGTTAATCCGAATTGTATGATTCCAGTTGAGTTGGTAAAATACATATCTGGAGCATGTGTAATGTTATCGGATACTTTAGTTCCATAACCTTGATACAGCACTTCATACATATTGTAATTGCAATGAGGTTCCGAGTTTATTTGCCAAAATGCATAGAATTCTTCATTTGTAAAACAGTGACCATCTGTATAAGTACATTGCGTATCAAGAGGCAGGTATATTTCGTTTTTTATTATCGCGATTAAAAGGTGTCACTATCGCGACACCTTCATCGGGCGGCTTCTTTGTATCCCAGAACATACACATATCCCTTATACATTGGCAGCGCGCGCGAGGTGTCAAACCAACATCAAATGCCCCTTAACACTCAGCATGGGGCCCACTGGCACGCGGAAGGTGTCAAAGGTACATCAAATGCCTTTTAGACACTCACCATGGGGTCTGACCATAAATTAAAAGGTGTCACTACATTCGCACCTTCATCGGGCGGCTCCTTTGTGTCCCAGAACATACACGTATCCTTATACATTTGCGGCATCCTTTGTCCGCTCCTTTGTGTCCCAGAACATACATTGCTTATCTACTACTCGCTCCAATCGAGCGGATTCTTGCTGCTTCCTAATAGCGTCCGCACGTTTACGTTGTTCCAACTTCGCTTTCACGCGATTATTGACAATCTTGTCAAATTGATACGCGACTTGGTGCGCCATCATTCTGGCTGCAATGAATTCCTTGATTCACTGAAAAATAGAAAAGACAATTAAATATTAATAAAAATGGATAAAATTTTATAATAATACTTACTTGTTGGACAATCGCCTTTATTTGTTGGATTTGCAGTGCTTGAGGACTGCTCTCGTCTACAACTCGTTGTAACTGAAAAATAAATAATAATAAATAAATAAATAAATAAATATATACTGAGAAAAAATACTTACAGTTATTAATATTAAAATTAAGAGCCGATATAACGGCTCTCTTGCTACAGTCTGAACGGTAGGATTAGTAAGCTCAAATTGAGTAATAACATTATTATTAAAAAAAATTCTAAAATTTATTTAAATTATTTATAAATTATTTAAAAATTATACTTACATTTTCTAAAAATTCACACGCTCTGATGATATTGTCCATGTTTTTTTTTTATTAAATAAATTTATAAAAATATAAAAAACTTACTAAATGTTTAAATAATAATAAAGGATCACCACTTCACTGTGAACAGCTTGAATTTTCCCTTAAGACTGAACAACGAAAATCCTACCGAATGCACACACTATTATCAGGTATATTTTTCTACAATATACGTAACCCTACACACAAACGTAGACATTCTTTGAGTGAGATAGGACGTTTGGCGTGTCCTTTCCCTCCCCATGTGGGCTAGAAGGTTTGCCACTTTCTAAAAAACTTCATAAATCTTGAGCGACGTGCCGGTGACTTTATGGTCATCCGCAACAAACGCATTAAACGCAGATGGTCACGCGTCCGCGCTAATGAGCTTGTTTGATCATCCTTAAACTGTCTATGATCTGCATTTGTGATAGTTTGGTAATATAAGATAAGAGGGTAGGTAGTAAGCATAGATACTCTCTCTTTCTGAAAGTAGTGGAGAAGCTTGATGATCACCCTCAAACCAGCTGTGATCTACATTTATGATAGACATAATCAACTTAAGATAAGAGGGTAGGTAGTGAATAACAACAAAACACTTTTAACAAAGTAAAAAGTTGCATGAATGGTTTCTTTTGAAATATATTATTTTATTATTTTATTTCATTTATTATTAATCTTATTTCAATACCATAAAAATGTCTACCAAGTAATAAATTACTTTAATGATTTAGCTCTATTAATTTTTTGTACTTTAACATTATTTTTTTTAGTTTTACTTCATGTTTTAATAACTGGTTGTATAGAATTTGTTTCAATATTGTTTTTAAAATTTTGAAAGTAGTGAAATCTATCTAAAAACGGCCCGAATACTGTAAATTACTTTTAGAGGCTTTACATAACTTATTAAATAGTAAGTTTACTTTATAGCATAGCAAATATTACATTAAAATAAATAATCTACTGTTCACAATCATTATACAAAATTGAATATAGTATCACAATTATGACAATTACAATTTTGAGATACGTATAGAGTTTCGGAAGTAATGATAGACTTCAAATAATAGTACAATGTTATAAGTAATTTATACGTTAAATGCTAGTCATGAAAAATTTATATAAATTTTAGATAACTTTCATTCTTGCCGGGCCTCTTGCCAGATTATAATATGTCGATGGAAATTTGTCATCTGATGAGTATTAACAAAAATTTACTGTATTTAAATTG